AAAAAAAAAAAAAAACCTTTTTTTTTTCATACAATAAAATCTCCACTTCTTGCTTAGCACCTCAAATAAATTGCTGTTTTTCTTCAACAATTAAAAGATAAAACCCTGCAAAGAATAAAGGGGTTTTTTTTCCCTTACCTCAGCAATTCAACCCCTCTGAAAAGAACTCTACTGTCTCTCACACCAATACCTCCTTTGTATTTTCTATCTAAAAACTGTTTTTCTTACAGTATTTTCTCTCCTTTTCTCTGCTTTTCATTAATACACAAAAAATGCTCAAAAGGGTCCCACTAAATGTTCCGATGGGCCCCACCCCCAATGTTCTTTGGATTCGGATTTGAATGCATTAATTAACGTTTCTTTCATTTACAGAGAACTGCAAATGTCAACAGAAACAATTATTGTAAATTTGAAAAAAAAAAAATCAATAATAATAATAAGACAGTAGTCCTCAGATAAGGAAGAGGTAGAGGACATTATTTTTTAAGGAAACAATGATGTTTTGTTTAATAATTATGCATAATGTGATTGTGATGGTAAATGGAATATTGAGTGGTTTTGATAGTTATACCATAACTCTAGCCTAAATTATTTACCAGGGGACAAAACCTTATTTTTGTTTGGGTACGCAAGTTTAATCACCTCAAAATCTCTATATATGATATTATATACTATTTATTTAATGTAATTTTTTCGTCCATTTAATTATAAAATTAACCGTTATATTTTATATTAATTAGGTATAATAATGATTTTTGTAATTATTCAATCATATAATAATCATTATTATGGAGCTATACACGCTTATTCACTAATAGTATATTGACACGTGTCCTGTAATAAATACACTTTGGACAAGTGTCAATACATTAAGTGATGAATGGTCCATAAGAAAACCTCCATATAATTTTTGAAATATAATATACATACATATAAGTAATAAAATTTTATTTAGACATGATTACCAGTAGAATTAACTATGGAAAAAATACTTAGAAAAAATACTTAAAGTTCATTGATCAATCACCTCTAAACTCTGATTTGCATGATGCGTTCATATCTACTCCCTTTCTTTTTCAATATTTTAGTAAATCACTAACTTTTGCCGTTAATATTATACTCAAACCAATCATATGCATTTAATACCTTGACACTTTGACAGTATATATATATATTAAGTTCTCAAACGAGTCAATTTTTTTATATTTTGAACCACTTCATTTTAACAAATACGAGCTAAATATTGGGATTTTGACATCTGTGACCCTCTAAAAGATTTTTTTTTTTTTTTTNTAATTTTTTTTTTTTTTTTTTTAATTTGTTTAATGACTTTAGTAAGAGGCTTTATAATACACACATTGAGGAATATGAATTTCCAACATCTGTCCAAACACATAGCTCGAATACTGAGTTCCATTGATATGATGGTATATATAAGCAAAATCATGCATTAAACAAGTGATGTTGAAACAAGTGTCACAAGAGTACACGATCATGTGGTGCATGGCAGAATTTTTTGGCAAAAACCAAAAACTGGTGTATGTGGGGTTCAATCTAATTAATTTGGGCATATATATATATATATATATATATATTTGCCTATTCAGTACATTTACCATAAAGTCACGCCTAGTCCTACTATTAAAATTTACCAATACTATCATAAATTTACTAGCTTTGGAAAATATTACTATAGATTATCGAGTATTACGAAATGTTAACTAATCATCAGTCATGTAAAGTTTGGACAGATTGTATTAACATAAGTCCATCATTAGAGGCTCCCTTCTGGACAGTTTTATGAAATCCATCATTAAATAAACTAAAGTCTATGAAATCCCCCATTATGATTATTAGATTACTTGATAAATTTAATCCAAAAAACAATGAAGTTTGTTCGAGATACGAATGTTAACCTCCCGATACTCGAGCTCGAGCATTTTATCAAACCGAAGTGATAAACGAGACCCGCTTATTCATATTAACAAATTGAGCTATAGTAATTTATAATTTTTAATGAGTCTTAATAAACTGTTCTTTCTCAACTAAACGAGCTTGAGCTTGATTCCTTTGAACCAAATTGAGCCGAGTTGAATTCAACTAGAGTACCAATGCCTTTAAGGTTCAGTGCAGTTAAGTTTTTCTCATGAAATATCATGATTAGAGATGTTAAACGGGCTAGCCCTAGCGGGTTTCGGGCTAAACGGTCCGGGCCTAAAAAGCCCAGATTTAAATGGGCTATCAATAAAGGGAGTTAACCCTAACCCTAGCGGGCCTCGGGCTAAACGGACTATAATAATAATAATAATAATAATAATAATAATAATAATAATAATAATAATAATAATATAAAAAAGAATAAAAAAATATATAAAAAATTACAGCAGCTAGTTAACGAATATTTTCAACGGCTATTTAGTATTTACTGCTCTATATATACAACTACACCTCATATATTAACACACATTACAAACTCTTAAATAAAATATTTTTTCTCAAAAGAAAAAAAAATATTTGAACTACTACTTACAATTACCATTTTACTATTTATTTGTATAATTGTAATTTTATCACTATGTTTCATGTGTTAGGTCTTTGTAATATGTGTTTCCTATTAACCGTTCTGATTGACTTAAATATTTTGGTGTGAACTACAATAACAATATTGTTAACAATTATCTTTAATAATCCGTTACGCTCATACTTGTATGTTGAAATAGCAAAATTGTAATATACAAGGAATCTGAGCGCATATTACTTACTTGTTGCAAACATTTACACCGCTCAACCCAAGTTAAACGGGCCAGCCCTAGCAGATTTCGAGCTAAACGGTCCGAGCCTAAAAAAATCCTGATTTAAACGGGCTACCAATAAAAGACCATAACCCTGCTTTTTTTTCAGGCTAAACAGGCCAGCCCGTCTGGCCAAAGACCATTTAACATCTCTAATCACGATGATATGTGATTCATTTAAATAAATAAATGAATAAATCAAAACTAGAGAGACCCATATATTTCTTTTTCATAAATGTGGAGAAGTATACAAATCTCTATTGCACATTGTTTTTCAAACTTATGGCGTCACTGTTATCAATATGTTTCTCAAATTACTATTCTCATTATCCCATACTGACTTGTTTTATGATGCACACTATTGTCCAGCAACCAAGTTTTAATAATTCAAAGCCATCTCAATTGAGTGTGGAAAATTTTCACCGACTCTTGAACTTCGGTAACCCATATGTCGAACTTTTCTCAAGCAAGAATAATTCGATGTATATTGTTTGTGCATACACATAAGATACAACTTTTACAAAAGGTTAGTCTCCAGCTATTTACTGCAAGGTGACATTAATTTATTATACACACTCATATATCACTATCAACACTTCAAATTACGGGAATTACACACTAATAAAATTGCAAGCATGCTAATGAATAGTATTATGTTACCCACATGCTTAACTTTTTTCAAATTGTCTAATTATGGTTTATAGATAATTTTGTGCTTTATTTTGATTTAGTTGTTGGCTTTGACCTTTTGTAATTGGTAAGCCAACAAAAGAGTTTGATGTGAATGGGTTTAAAGTCATGTTGGGCATAAAACATGGTCTCATGATGTGTGAAGTGGTCCAAATGACTTTTTGGGCTCGTGGACTTTTTTAATTTGGTCTATAAAATGATAAAACTACACTTTTGGACCCTTCATATATATTCGAAATCTCATGTAACGTAGAGTTAAATTAATAATGGGCTTTTTGTTCACAAATTCTGCAGGCCAAGCCTGATTCATTTTAATGATGGTCTAGAGAATACTGGACCAATCATAACATTAAAACAACAATAGCCCGGTCAATTTTGGGCCTTGAAACACTGCTATGGCGTGTGAGGGTAGGAATTCGATTGGAGCATAGAGGCCCTATTAAGTATGTATTAACACACATATGGGCTGAGGGACCCATTGTAAAGCACTCGACTGGACCCATTTTCTGTGTAAAGAAGAAGAAGTCCATTTAAAATTTTAAAATCAATCTTATCCTACATCACAAATTTAGCGGATTCTCTTAACATTTCAAATGAAAACTAGTGTATACACCGTGCGATGCACGGGAACAATATTAAACTAACAATATTATAAATAGATCTCGAGTTTGAGTCACTCAATGACGGAAGTGGAAACTACTATTGATCCTATTTAAAAAGAGGAAGAAAAAAAAAATTATAAATTAAAGAAGATGATAAACAATACTTAATAATTATAAATTAAAGATTCGGGGCCAAACAATGTAAAATTATTTTGTACAAGAGAATAAAAAAATTTGATTACACACAATTTCAAAATTATTATTATACTTTTTTGTATGGT